AAGGGCCACCTGGGTTTAGAGGCTGCCACATGTCAGGAGACTCCTAGAATCAGAGGCCCAGAAGGTCCTTCAGAGGCTGAGACTCAAAGAAAAATTGGAAACTGGCCCCAGGGGGAAGGACAGCCTCCTGCCTATTAGGTCAAAAGTCCCCAAGAGGGTATAGGGAGAGAGGAAGCCGTGAAGGTGGCTCCCCCACACCCTTGGGTTATTAGTGGCAGCCCCAAATGTCTTCCACTACCCTTGACATAAAAGCAGACCTCTGTCCTTGGTGGTCTGTAGGATTGTGTGCACACACAGTGACAACTTGCTAAACAAATATTCTGGAAAGAAGCCAGATGGTCTGGCTGGGTAGGAGGGGTGGCCATGGCCGGGAGGACAGGGAAGCGTGGCTCTTTTGCGGATAGGCCAGGACCTAACGGTGGGACACACTATAGACTCCAGGCAGGTGTGACCTTGAACTTGACCTTGTAGAGCAGGAAGTTCTGCTCAAGGAGGTGTCTCGGGGTTGAGAGAGTTTGGCTCCCATCCAGATGTGACTGAAGACCCATGTCTATGCCTCTGAAATCATTTCTACCTCCAGGAGCAAAATTTCCAGCCACTGAAGCGTGCTGCTAGGTGCCAGCCTCGTCATTAATAGAGAGTCCCTTTTACTTTGTTCTCTTCCTCCTCTTGTCAGCCTGACTCTCAGGCTCTCGGAGTCCTGCTGCTTTGGTGTTAGCGGGAAATGAGATTGTCTGTCGCTCAGGAAACCAAGACTCCCCATAAAGAGCACCGTCTGTATGCAATGGACTTCAATCCCGAGACTTTATTTAAGGTGGTGTCAGAGTGGCCACTGGGTTTGAACCTGAGCACAGACAGTGGGACATGGAGACCACCCAGCCAAGGATACCCCGGTGGAAGTAGGGGCTTCAACCTTCTGGTGACACTGCTATCCCAACCTAGCAGAATGATCTGGCTTCTCTGAGCTGCCTAGCATCCTTGGGAGTGAGAGGGAAACAGAATGTGTGTGTGTGTGTGTGTGTGTGTTTCTGCACAGGAGCCCACACATGTGATAACGGGGCACGGTAGAGGGTGGGAGGAATGGTAGATTTTTGTTTTTCCCCTTAGAAATAAATCCTGCCCAATGAACAGCCAAACCAAGGAGTCACACAGAGTTAGCTAGATTGTAGTGGTTCAAGTCATTTATTTTAAAACTATTACCAGCATGTTTGGTTCTGGGGTCCAATCCCCAAATTCCAGAAAAATAAACTAATGAGAACCACATGCACTATGAGGAGGCCATTCCGATGTGTCCAAGATCATGCAGTGAATGGGCATAGAATACAGGTCAGATCCTGGGGTGTGCAGGGCCTCCTCTCCCCAGACAGCTGGCAGCAGCTGGCTCTGAGCCCTTACAGGGGCTAGGGAGAGGTCTGAGCCCTAGTAATTTAGGCCCTGCCCCTTTGGGGCCCTGGGCCCCTTATTGCTACATTTGCTACTTTGCTACTTTATGGCCCCTGGTCTTGCCCAGGGGATGCCTTATTACTGGGTGGCACTAATGAGTAAGTTGCTGGCGTCTGCTGTTGCCATGGTTACATGAGCACAGGCCTCCCTTCAGAGGTTCCTGTGGCGAGTTATTAGTGATTAATTTGGCCACTGTTTGACTATTTCATGGTCCTTGCTACACATTCATCTCAGCCAGATCCTTTTTAGTGATGGCACATTATTTTCCCCCAGCCCAGGGCTTCCCAGCTTCTACATTCTGTAAGACCCAAAGACCAATAGCCCTCAATTCTTTCTACCTTCTGGGAAGGCTTCCTGGTGGTGGCTTTTGAAGCCTGTGCATTTGGAACAGAACAGGAAGGATGCATTTTAGGAAAAATATCCATTTCCAAAAACCAGCAAGGGAGCCAGGTGGGAGGCAGGCTCCTGGGTCAGTGTCCTGTTGGTGAGGTAGTTTGAACATACCAAGAATCCTGATAGGGGAGAACCCCTGAGCATGTCCCTACATGTTCAGCTAGTCAGTTAGCAACCCAGAGTTGCAAGAGGCCCTTCTGAGGTGTTGGCCTGGTACTGACCACTCAGCAGTGGAGAACCTGGAACCCAGGCCCAGTCAATTGCATTGGCAGCTGGGCCTCTGGGGTATTGTAACACCTTCCCAGGAGGACAAAGTTGGGACATCACTTTCTGGGAGAGCAGGAGCCTTCCCCCAACCCAGAGAGTTCCAGCTGCTTGGGTCTGGCCATCTGGTTGCCACTGGGCGTTTATACCTGTTGTCCTCTTCCCAGGCAGGGAAGGTTAATTCATTCAGATGTTTCATCCCTGGGGCCCGTGTGTCTTGCCTGGAGGGGTTGGTGGTCACTTGCTAAGGCTGCCCTGATACTTTGGCCATGGTCCGTCAAAATGATATTTACCCTGCAAACCCTCAGGGGAAAGAATCTTAGGCCCAGAGGCCATGCCCAGTCAGGGAAGCTCAGGTGGTTTTAGGGGACAGGATGGGACAGAGAATCTGCTTGGCTACAAAACTACCTTCAAACCTTTAACCTAGTCTGGAATGTTGGCTATGTCCACCAGACCGATGGGGAACTGGCCAAGACCCGATTTTCTAAATCCTTGCATTAAAAGGTCTGAGTGGTAGGCTGGCCTTGGACTGGCAAACTTGGGTGAAGCAGCCTGTCCCACTTCCTTCCTTCCCCTGTTTGATCTACTGAGGAGCACATGGTGGTGGTCACAGGACCATGCCTGCCTCTGCCAAGAAAAAAAAAAAAGGTGAGGATTAGGGGGTTATTGCTCTGGGTTTGAATCCATCTGAGGTATCCTCACCTCTGTGGAGCCTCTGCTGTCATTGTCCTCCCCTCTGGATGTCCCCGAGGTGGTTAGAATCCTTGAGCTTGTTCCATCTCAGGGCCACAGTCCATCTGGCTCTGGATGGGCCCTTTAGGGACCTTCATGGTGAAGGTCAATTCTCAGGCCAGCATAGCTCAGGAGCAACCGTTAAGAATTGGGAGGAAGAAAGGGGCACAGAAGTCATGGCCAGGAAGCTGACCCTGCCTTGTCTACAGCCTGACTTAGGATGTCCTCTGCAGCCTGTGTGTGTGTGTGTGGGGGGGGCAGAAGGCAGCCAGACCCCTTCCCCTGAATAACTGAAGGTACAAAGGTGCCCACTGCTTGGGAACCCTCCTTGTCCACATGCCTCCCTATCAGCACAGTTGGGACAATGTTGGGTGCAAATGAACTTGGACCATAACTTTGTTCTGAAACAGGAAGTGTGTATAAATAAAAAGGGGATTTTAAAAAAGTGGAAAGAAGCCCCTTTTTAGACTCTTGTCACTTGAGATAAGGCTTCATCACATTCATTTACTCAGGTAGTTACCAAGTATCTGCAAAGTGCCGGGCTTGGTGCTGAAAGTGTGGGTGTGCCCACCGAGAATCTGGGTCTGTCTTGCCCCTTTGAAAGCTTTCTCAGGACCCCACACATGTCATCTTTCTAATTTCCTGTATCTTGAAGAGAGAAGAACTACAGCCGGGAGGGAGGATAGACATGGTGCTCAGAACCCATGAGGATACCCCATAATGGAGACTCCTAATGTTCCTGATGGCTCTACTGTGAGGGATGGGAGAGTGGGGGTCTGGGGACAGGGTTGTGTGGAAGCAGATAAAGACAGGACTCGGAGGTCAGGGGTCATAGGGAAGCACCCAGAAGGCTGGATGGCGATCCAATGAGCCTTTGGTCACCAGCTGGTGCATTTTCCTGCATGAGTAAAGAAACACCAAGGATCACTTTTTTCCTTCTATGTTTTCTGTTTATACACTCCCAAGGGAGATTTTTTTTCACCTGTGGCCAAAAATAGATCAAAGGAGGATCGTCGTAGCAGGTAGGGGTGGTTGAGTGTCTGAATTCAGAAACAGCTTGCTCAATACAGCTCTGCCCCAGGTCTCATGGGTATCACAATAACAACAGTGACGACGATGACAGTATTAGCTACCATTTGCTAAGCACCTACTATGTGTCAGGCACCTGACTCGGTGCTCTATATACACGTCCTCACAGCCACGTTGGCAAAGTCATTTTCACACGCACGCACGCACGCACACGTGCACACACACATGTGTACACTCACACAAGGAACCCGGGGGATCTTTCTCAGGCTTTGCTTTCTCCTAGATGACAGGAGTGCTCTGGCTGGCCCTCAGATTGAGACTGGGAAGGGAACCACATGGCCCTGGCCTGGACCTGCCATAGCACACTCTGGCGAAGCTTCAGGAACAACTGACGCCTGACCCAGCAAGGATCTGGCTGTGCCTACCAGAATGCCACCATCTAGGGGCGTCCAGGTCTCAATCTGGCCACCTCCTGGGCCGGAGCCCTCCTAGCTTCCACCTGAGGCTGCCAGAGGGGAGAATCCCAATGGCCCCTGAAGTTCACGGCCGTGTTTATTTTAAGTAAAATGTGAGGGAACAAACCAAGGAGCAAGGGTGCAAAGACAGGAAAAATAAAATAATGATTTTCTTAAAAGATGGTCATCAGAACCTCCATGGCTGTTCATCAACACGCTCTTCCATCTGCACCAGTGCTCTCCCATCCTCCAGTGTTGGGCCCTTGAGACATCTGATGGGACCCAAGGGCTGCCACCACACCCGTGGAGACCTCTTTGAAAGTTGGTCTCAAAGTGGGTGGAAAGCATGTGAGGTGAGGTCGCCTTCGCACTGAAGACATGATCTGGACATATTATGTGGGAACTGGGCCTGGTGCTGGCTGGTCATACCCAGGTGGCCACAGAGTCGGGGTCGGGGGTTGTGGGGAGGGTCATGGTGGCTGTGACGAAGGTGCACCCTGTGGGGGCACCAGAGAGGGGCGATGCATAATACTGGACGTGCCCAGGGTCCACTTGCTCCTCTTGCATTTGCTGGCGGGTGTGACTCCCCCAGGCAGCAGGAGGAGTGAGGATAATAAGAATATAATCTCAAGTGATAGTCCGACAGGAATCCCATGAGCTGCTCTCTCCTGACTCAGTTAGAAACAGGGCCTCCAAGTCGATGGAGTGTTGGCGCACAACTGTACAAGGAAGAGGGTGTAAACAGGAGCCTCTCCCTGCTGGCCCAGGTCTGTGGACGCTTCCTGGTGTCCCCGTTCACCCACCAAGTCTCCCCACCATCACCCTCCATGGCCCTCACTCTTTCTCCTTCACAGTGACCAAATCTCCCCGCAAGGAAACTCTGTCCGCAGATGTGGAGCGCCGCCGCCTGCCCGTGTGCTCTGAGGGCCCGGGCCCTGGCCCTGTGGTGGGGACACTCAGGAGGACTGCATCAGGCCGGTGAGGCGCTTGCCCGCCAGCGACTTTCCCTGCAGAGAGACAGGCACAGAGGCACACACAGGTGCACACGCACACACAGAGGGACAGAGACAGAGAGCCAGACAGGTGAATTAATTGCTGCCCAAGCCATAGAGGCCAAACAACTCACCAACCCGACTGACCAGTTTGACTGGGGTCTCTAGCATGGGAATCCTAACTGGGGATAGTGGGAAAAGTCAGGACTGCAAGGCAGGTTCAGGGAGTGAGGGTGTGTGGCTGGTACTTTTGGGAGTGTAGAAGTTTTACTTACCAAAGATCCAGGCATTTAAACCCTGGGGTAGAGCACCTCTTAATGCTTGTGGGCTGCCCCTGAACTTGATTTTATTCAAGCAGGATAGGAGAAAAAGGTGGGTTAGGGAATACTGAGGTCAGGAAGGGTGGGTTGATCCAAATAAATGGTGGTTATGGATCTGGGTGACTTAGAAATGAATAAATTAACTAGTCTTGGGAACACAGAAGATCTATGAATCCTGCTTGAAATGTAGGATAGACACAAGATTTGGGTCCTCTTGGGGATGGGTTCTGGGACTGTGAAAATGACAGGGACATTTGCTGAGACTCAGAACCACTGGATGTGCCAGGTCAGTGGACTCCTGCTGCCTCCTTATGGTCTCAACTCTCCACCTGTGATACCCAGAGGCTGAGTTTGCTGGCCCCATGTCAGGAAGCCTATAAGTCTCTGCTTATAACCTATGTGGCCATTCCTCTCAAAAGCTAAGATAATACACTGGACCATGAGGCCCAGTGCATGAGGCCTAGATGTCCCGGAGAGTCCAACTGTCTATACGTCCTGGGGACATGGTTGAGGAGCCTCTGGTCTGGGAGGGGATTCAGGACACCAAAGGGAGGCTGAGCAGATGAACGAGGATCAGTTGCTGTTCACTTCCCTTGACAGAGTTTGCACCTGTTCCTTGGCCCACCCTCTTCAGAAATCTATATCTCATTGGGCAGAGGTCCAGGCAGTGGGGCCGGACCCAAGTAAATAGATCACGCGTCTAGGAGAATACGCAAAACTCATCATAGTATTATTGACAGTGGGTCAGCGACACCATCGCCATCTGCAAAGGGTAGCAGACCATCCCCTGTCAGCAAGGGCTGTGGGGCTTGGTCGTGACATTGCAGGGGCCAGCAGTTCCTCGTGTTCATTTCCAAGCAGGGCGGGGAAGCTCATCTAGATGACTGGGCTTGGCTGCGTGTAAGCTGGATGTAATTAAAAAAAATTGATCAGGTTTGTGAAGCCTGGTAGGGTACTCGATAAACCTGCTGATTGATGAATTGATGGATAATGGGCATATCTAAAAATGAACAACACAGGCTTGGAGTTAGCTGGATGCAGGACAACATGTCATCTGGCTTAGGTCTCCACAGAGGGACACGGCCAGGCTGGCTGAGAATTTTGATGGCACAGATGGGTGCTTAGACAGAAACAGAACTGCCCTCAGGAGCTACAGGAAAACCTGCATCTCCTTCTCCTTCTTTTCTTCTTTCCCCCTCCCCCTTTCTTTCATTCCCTATTTTTGCTAGTGAGACAAAAACTTTTCATTTTTCACCCTATCTTAAGAAAAGAAAAAAATCGCCTACACTCCCCATCAACAACCTTATCTGAATCTTAAAATACACTAAACTTAGCCTGCAGCAGGATACGTTTATACTAGGCTAAGGATTTTTTAAATCAGATTGTTAAAAAATCCTGGAGGGTTTCTGTATCAGTCTTTGAGAATCTTTAAGCAGGATGGCTACTTCTTTGTCTACAGCAGGTTAGGTACCACAATAGCTCTTAGAAGGCAGAGGCTGGCCTTGAAGGCCTCCCCTCCAGTCCCTGGAATCAATGGCACTCCTTGAGTGACCTTTCTTACATGGAGTGTGGGGTGAGGCATTTGTCATCCAGCTGGTCCACCTGAGAATGAAGATGCTTTCTCGGTGCAGGCCCCAAGGCAGGAAGCATGGGAAGGTGTTCGGGGGTCCTCACTGGGACAGAGTGAGTTTAGGGACCTCCTGGGGTGAGCTCCTCCATCCCCTATCACTCATCCCATCCCTGCTCCTATGAAAGGAATCTAAGAATTCTGCTTTCCTCTTGGGTCCTGCTTATTGTTATACACCTAATACCAACTCCTCCTTCTTCTCCCAACTATCTTCCACCAGGACCACAAACAACACAGTGTGTACCCAAATATATATATATATATATATATATATATATATATATATATATATATATATATATATATGTTCTGGTTTGCTATATATGGCATTTGGGGCTCTTATTTAACTGGCAGATATGGAGGAAAAATCTCCAACTCTTCTGAATAAGTGTCTTTTGCCAATATGTATGCTCAAAGCCTAGAGACAAGGAAAATCAGGTTCACTAGTTGCCCAAACCCTCACTGCAGCTCCATCCTCATTAGTGAGGTCATTTTTGGCTGGAGAGGGAGCTGGATATTTTATTTCTGAAGGATGATGTGTCTATCTGTTCTAGGTGAATTTGGCCCCGAGGCACCCCTGACCTTAACTCCTCCCAGCTTCACAGACAGGGCTGGGCTGGGCTTGGAGTTGCTAATTAATCTTTTCCTATCATAGTCCAGGAGCTCAGCCTCACAGCTGACTCCAAAGACCTGTGGCCAGCCTGCAACTGCCTTCCCCTCCCCCCATTTCTATTTCCCAGGACTTCAGAGGTGAATGGTGCAGGTGACCAGCCCAGGGGCCACTCCTGAGATTGCTCCCAACCTCTCATCAATCTGGGTGCTGTGGCTTGGCATTTCTGTCTCCCTCTCCCCACTGTTGCACTCACGCATTTACCAAATGCCAGTTCTGCTGCTAAAGATGGAGGTCATGCGGGTTCCGGGCAGCTTGGGAAGCAGCTCAGCCCAGCTGCAATCTACTGGCTACACTGTGACCTCCTGGGTGAGTGAGGGCAGGCTCGGGCTGGGAGGCAGTTAATCATGCAGGACGCAGGCATGGCTAGATGCCTGGCCCAGGGCTTTGGGGGAAGAGATCCTGCAATCCCACTAGCTCAGCAGCAGCCTCCCTTCTGAAGAGCTGAGTCTCCCGTAGTGTTCAGGGATCAAAGGGAAATCTGAGCAGAGGCTACCTGTGCTCAGAGATGAGCTGCCCCAGTGGATATCTCCATGGGGGCTTGCAGGCAGCTCCTGAGGCACCTGTTCTGCCCAGAGACAGGAGGGTACCGCCTGCACTCCTAGGGCTCTTTTCTCCCTTCCCCTCTCCTTCATCCCTGCCTCCAGTTTGGATGGTTCTAAAGGAACTGCTCAGGAAGGAGAGAGGTAACTCCGCCTGTGTCTGGCAATTGCACAGCTACAGAGGGAGCATTTTTTTTTTTTCAGGGTGTGAATGCATGATGTTCCTCAGTGTTGGTCAGTTGGGAATGGGTCATGGTGCCAGGAAACTGCAGCCAGCTCAGCCCAGGGCCTTGGCGTCGCTGAACGAAGCAGCTGAGTGTGGTGGAAAATGCTATTAGCAGGCAGCCTTTGTCCAAGTGAAAAAATATACAGTGATTAAGAACCGAGCTGCCGAAGGTACATTCCAGAGACACCAAAGCTTTGCATACAGTCAAAGTGCTTTTCACCTTGGAGACATTTGGCAAAGTGTAATCCAATAGGACTTGGGATCCTTCAATTTCATGGACCACAGGGCTTAGTACTAGGTTTACAAACACCCACGCGTTCAATTCCCACCCTCCACTCTGACTAATCATTTCAGCTCTGTGGCCATCTCGATGGCTAGAAGCCTGGAAGAAGGTGATCATGGAATCCTTTGTTTCTGAAAGGAAACACACAAAAGGAATTGCTCCCTTTTGTGCAGAGCTTTAAGGAAAATCAACATGCTGCTGGACATGCTGTGGCCCTGTGCATTGCGTTTTTCAGATATTAATCAACAAAGCATGCACAATCCCCGTGACCAAGAACTTTCGACACTTACTTACCTGCGAGATGGGGGCTAAACTCTTGGACTGGGATAGGACTGGGCTCAGAGAATAACCCTGGGGGTCAGATGGCATACTGGGGGCAGCAGAGCCAAACACTAGGGGCTCAGAGAGAACCCTTTTCAATGGTAAGGGAATAAACATATTGGATCTGCTGATGAGATTCTCTTGCTGATTTGTTCAGATGACCCAAGACCAAAGCGACAGAACTCAAATGCATCAAGTCAAAATCTGAGCAACTCTGAGGATAGAAATCAACTGTGGTTGCTTCTGGGGAAAAGGGATGGGACTGATTGGAAGCGGGCAGGAGGGAATTTTCTAGGTTGATAGGGTGTAGATCACATGGGTGTATCCATTTGTCCAATTCAGTGAACCATATATTTTAGATCTGTGCATTTTACCGTATGTAATTACACCTAAAAAGGAGGAAAGAAAGATTGGGGCGGGGGATCCCAGCTGTCACATCTCTGCCTGGGAACTTCCCACTTCTTACTCTTTTTCAGTTGCTGAGCCCATCTTTGCCTTTGGAGAAATTCAGTGCTTTCTCCTCCAGTATGGGAGTAACCCAGATTCCTCTGCTACGGGAACTGGAACTTGCAACAAAACTAATTTGGAACACTATTTCCAGTCTCTGCTGATCCACACGGATCCCCCTGGTGTGAGGCCCAGGAATTTTCATCCTTGCTAATGAAAAAAGGTGTTTTGCTGAATAGAGCTCACCAAGTGACTTCATCAGGCAAATATTGGGAGGCTCTGGAGATGGGTTGTCCTTTCAAGGAATTTGAAGGTGACCTATGAGTAGCTAGATCATGCTCACATTCATAAAGGATGTGCGTGTGTAGTAGTACCGACTTAGAAGGGCTAGCTGAGGACAGCAGTCTGGAACTCAAGAGCCAGGCAGAAAGGTAAGAGTCTTGGCTTGAGTTCAGAAGGTGAAGGGAGAAGACAAAGACCTGCCTAAATTCATCAGGTGACTCTCTGAGGGTTGGTGCTCTTGGTGACCCTTCCCCACTGAGCAAGGCAAAAGGAACAGTTTAAATGGTAAGTTGAGGC